CGATTTCAATTAGGCAAACTATTTCATTTATTAACAAAGTTACTACCTGAAATACTCATGTAGAATTTCATCTAAAATAATTTATGCGTTGTCATATCTATTATTGGAAGTATTCTCTATCCCTCTGCCTTGTATAATAATAGTAGTATTAATAGTATTATTGACAGTAGAGACATGAGTATCGTAACTGGTAGGTTTAAAACGAATTACAAACCCCAATATTTCTAACAGAGCCTGGACGCCCTTCCCCGTATTTGGAGGGTTCAGATTTATTCTTGAACGATACATTTCTTAAGATTCACTAGTTGACTAGTCTCTGGTGGTGAGTTCAGAAAAGGTGGGGAATTCGGATGGGAGGTTAGTAATGCCACTTCAAAGAAGAAAATAACTTCACCGCCACTTAAATTTTAAGTAAAATTCTCTAAGTCCTATATTCCATTCACTATGGAAGGAATAAAAAAAATGTTGTCTGTTTCCATCAAAAAGTATTCAGGAAGCATAGTTCCATGACTCACTTCGTTCCTTCCGCCTGAAGTTATATTCTGAACGTTTATAATTTCTAGGGCCATTGATTAGACAAAGCATTTAAACTGTAAGTAAAAATGTGCTTAATAATTAAATGTACAGAAGTCAACATATTTTAAAGGAATGCCGTACTACCTACTTTTCTTCATTGAACTGTCGGCCAACTCTATGTTTTTCGAGTATTAGGCATTTGAAGATCCTTTTTCTACATAAACCGTAGCAGTTATTATAAGATATTTGGGTAGTGAGACGAAAGTACTCCTTAGTACAGCAGATCCCGAAATATATGAGAGATGAGAAAAGTGGGGAAGTGATGTCTGCTTAGCTAACTAGAAGGCATGCATCAACAATTAAATGTAACACACCGAAATACCGTATATATTTGACCGTGTACCTTCAGTCGTTTCAAATGACAATGTTAGGACCCAATGTTAAGTAAGAGCTTTAGGTTAATTATTTTGAAGAATTATTTAATGCTACAAGACTGTAGAGTCTTCTGAACACCTTGAGAAGCTGCAATCTACGAATGTTTGGCATGCAATTCGCTTCCGCCAAATGTAAGATGATGCTACAGGACTGGACTACACTGACTCCTCGATTAGAAATAGGAAGTGAAGTGTCTGGCGGAGCGCGTTGACCCCGAAATCTCAACACGGATACAGAAGGCTCGTTGCGCATATGCTAGTTTACGCCGTCTCTGATGTAGACTTGATATCTGGCTGAATATTGACCAAAGGGCGAGTGTACTGCTCGGTAGTCCGCTCTGTCCTCCTTTATGGCTGTGAGACCTGGCTATTTGAGAGTGGAAGACGTGAAGACGCTATCTAGCTGTCTTTGATCAAAGGTGCCTGCGTTCTATCTCCTCTGTTAGATAGTGGTATAATAGGGTGAGCAATATTGAGGTTGGGCATCGGTCGAGTGCTAGGTAAGGAGGAAAAACCGATCGACGAGGCTGTGAAGTTACGCCGATTGAGACGAATGGTTAGGACATGTGTCACACATGCCTAGCTATCGTCTTCCTCGACAATGGGCAATGTTAGAGGCGGTCAAACCAAAACACGGCACCTGTCAATGGAATCCATAACATTTAGTTTAAGCCAGCCATCGAGCAAGGTGTACATTTCCTGCTGGGGTCCTCGGGACGTAAAAACCAATGGAGGCTGGAGACAATTATCGGTAATGTGGCTCAGGGTGATCATTCTCAATGGCTGGCGCAGATGCATCCACTCCTTGTGACTTATAATACCAAAATGAAACTATATTGTTCTTCGATATTACTATTCTTCTTGCCTCATATCTCTGTTTACCGTCCCTATCTTGAATTTCTTTCTACCTTCTTCTCTTGTTTTTTTTTGCTACATGGAGTGTGGCGACTTGAACTGCCGAATATCGGTGCAAAGTTCTATGTTAAAAACAGACAGAGAGACAGCTGCAAGACTGTCAATTCACGCACTGACCACTTCTGTTTGAAATGCTTAAATAGCCACCCCGATGGCAGTTAGCTCGATTTATTCTTGAAATGTTGCAATTAACGTATAAAAAGCATTTCAGTTCCACATAAATCTTAACATAAATTTCAGAAGGTTAATATCTGTCCATGAGCTACAGCTTTTGAGTGAAGGCTTGCGAAACAATCGCCCAGCAGCCCAAACTTCGGCAGTTCAAGTGAGATTACAACCTGACATTCCGTAGCCGTTTCTTTATAGGTGAGAAACTTGCACTGAGTATCACGGAGAGGATTTCCAACATGTTACAGACTTTTATCAACAGATGCCCACTTCGCTGCCTCTATACTGAAGGTCAAATGACCAGCCGGTGGGCCAGGAAGAATCAGCAACATGGACCAAACCAACCATGAGCCGATCTCTCAACAAATATGCTGGAGGAAATAGAGCTGGACTGATTAGGCATGAGTTGAGTAGGTTTTCGAATGACACTGTGAGCAGTGTAGGCCATCGCTCCATTGGAATTCCTATGGGATGCAACGAGTGAGTTTTCGTTACGACGGTGACATGGAGGAGATCTTGTGAGTTATGGGAGATGAGAGATTATGGGTAATTAAAGGCCCAACTGAAGTGAACAGCAGAGAATACAACAAAGTGAAGATGTGTTCCGCTAAGAACCCTTAGGTTCCCAGTGGAATATATAACTTCAACAGCACATCTGCATTTCAAACTATTCTCTACAGTTGTCTTCAGCTCTCATATCCTCCTCGCACCATCTTCTTCCACACCAACTCTAGAACAATGCCCAAATCCTTTCTTCCCTCTGGATTCCACTCGAAAACCTAGCGATGTCACTTAACAGTCTCTTCAGAGTTCATTCAATTCACCTCCATCTGTCTGGCGATAGATTCTTAGTTGGTTCAATCCCTGTCAGATATCTTCCCTTCATTTTCTTCTTGAAGCAGATACTGATAGGTTGGAAGCCAATTACAAAATTCACGTGAGTTCTTGTTGCATCTCCGATATAAGAATAGAACTTGTGCACTGTGGTGATAGAGTATAATTCCATTCTGGGTAAAATTTGTTATGATAAGGTCTCTCAGTGTTATACAGTAATGTTTACTGATGGCGTTTCGAGCACAAATTATTACTGCTCATAATCATCATATCAGGGCACTTCTGACACAACTTTCTAACTTCTTTTTTATAATTCCTTTATTTTTCATCGCTTGATTCGATTATAAAACCGTTCAAACTCTAGACTAACTAATTCATATGAGATGAAAAATAAACTAAATAAAATTCAACTGGCGAATGATGAAACAATGGTTATTTTGATGTAACTAGTCTTTATACTAACATACCAATCAATATGGCTTTAGAAGCAGTTAAAAAAGAACTAACTGCAGATCCTGAACTTATTTATAGGATGGAGCTACCGATTGAAGAAATTATTTTAAGAATTCAGTTATGCCTCACATCTACTATCTTTAAATTCCAAGGCAAAACATATAAACAAACAGGTGTAGCGATGGGGTGCATAACCAATATCCCCTATAGTAGCAGACATATTTAGGGACAGCTGGGAAAGTAATGCTCTCAATACATTTAATCCAACCCCCAAATTATGGTGGAGATATGTGGATGGCACTTTCACATTGTTAAAAACAGAACATATATCTAGCTTCTTGATACGTATAAACTCACTAGTGGAGGGAATAAAATTCACATTTGAATCAGAAAATGAACAAGGAGAATTAGCTATGTTAGATTGCAAAATAAAACTAATAGAAGAAGGCAAACTACACACTAGTGTGTACAAAAAACCAACTCATTCTAATAGATACTTAGACTTTAATTCACCTCATCCGTTGACTGTGAAGGCAGGCTTAGTTAAGTGTTTAACAAACCAAGCAGTAGCACTAAGTAGCACAAGAAAAGACCTAAATGATGAAATAAAACAGATAGAAGAGGCGTTGGTGTTGAATAATTATCCTATAAAATTCATTAGGAAGATCAAAAAAGGCCAAAGGAAAATTAAAAATAATTGTGAAACTAATAAGGATAACATAAATAAGAGAGAATATGAGTCATCCACTGTTATACCATATAAAGAGGGGACATCTGAGACCCTACGTAGGATTCCTAATAAAGCAGGAATTAGGGTGGCATTCAAACCCTCCTACAAACTCACTCAGGCAGGACAAACTGTGTAGGCTAAAGGACCCAGTTGACCCGATTAAACAAAATAATATAATTTAAAAAATACCCTGCAATGACTGTAAGTGAGATCAACTACATGGGTCAAACTAGTAGGTCAGGGGTAGTCAGATTGCCTGTCGGAACATAAGAATTTAGCTGAGGTGACAATGGTTGACCCCGAGAAGATATGTAATTTAGAAAAAAGCTCAGCAATTGCAATGCATGCATTGACACACAACCACACATATGGGTGGGAGAGGGTTACAATTCTAAAAAGTAATCTAGGTAGGTGGAGAGAGAGGTTGATTACTGAATCCTTGTTCATCGAGTCTACACCCAACACATGCAATAGGAATGACTCATCACTCATACCGGATATATGGAAAATACTACTAGCAATCAAATCAAACGAAAATCAAGTTAAAAATAATGGAATTATAAAAAAGAAGTTAGAAAGTGTATGAGTAGTACCTTGATATGATGATTATGAGCAGTAATATTTTGTGCTCGAAACATGGTCATCAGTAAACATTACTGTATAACACACACTGTGAGACTTGATCAAAACTTGTTGCATCTCACTTCTCATAACTGAGCGGCTAAGATAACAAGGAGGGGAGAAAAGTGAAAAAATGGCACACAAACCGAGATGGAAATTTAGACAGCCCAACAGTTTATGCAGACCTCTAGAACTGTCAATCACACGCAGGATCACCATCACCTATCACAAGCATTAAACTCTCCTTACTATTATAAAGTTTATTATATGAATAATATTGACACCTTCGTTCGTTTTCTGACCTGTTTCCTATTCTTGTTCTTTTCCAGTTCTGAATTAGCCTTAATTTACAATGATCGTGGTGTATTAGAAAATCATCATGTCAGTGCAATTTTCCGCTTAATGCAAGAAGAAGAATTTTCAATACTCAGTGGACTAGATGCTGATCAATTCAAGTAAGGAGTGAATTTCATTTGAGATCCAAAAAAGATCAGAATATACATTTTTGGTTGTGTTTTTTTCTAACCAATTAAAGTTTATTATTATTTAAATTATGAATATTTGGAAACTATTTTTATTTTTTTATTTTTGATTTACAGCTTGATTCCACACTGTATTTTTGGTACAAGTATGCAATTTTCAGCATGGATATCGGTAGCCCAAATTTTGCAGGCCGACCATAGATATCAGGTGTGCGCCGGCGTGGCTCGAACCCCGGACCATATGCATGGTCGGCGAGAGTCCTAACCACTGTGCCACCGACGCACAGGGTGCATTGGAGAGATGTTCCGTCCTAGTTTGGGACTCCGACTGTAGTCTGAAAGTAATATTATGTGTGTAAAGGAGAATGACGCTCAGGAAGGCTTCGTGTGCTTTTGTAAGTGTGTAAGCGAAGGTTGTTACTTCCCGGCTGCCCACACCGTGGAAGTTGATTGGTCCTTCAGGCACGTACCTGAAACAGAAAGAGGGTCAGTGTTGCGTGACCGCAGAGCCCAAGGGATAACTGCTGGAGGCCAGCCGGTCATATACGGCCTGTATGAACTAGTTTCTGGGATTGGTTCCGTATTAGTAAACTCACCTCAGGTTACGGACCACCATAGGTGGGGTAAGTGGGGATTTACAGTTGTTGGGGTCGACCTTATCTAACCCCTTCTATCCAGAGTGTAGAGACAGCACAGTTGGCTGGCATGCTGGTCATCTGAGGGAAACACTTTATTTCTGTTACATCCCTGTTCCCCAGCAGTACGACTTCGCCCACAGATCCTCAGAATAGTGTAGAAAAATTCTTACACAGTGCCGGCAACTACTTTTAGTCTAATCGCTATTCTAACAACCTTCCTGGCATGGTAGGACCTGTAGAAACAATAGTTCCAGCCAGTGAAGCTTGTTGGGTCATTGCGATATGCAAACCCGACTACCACGTCAAGGTAGCAGTTATCGGTTGGGCTGGAACTCCTTATCAGTAGTGTCTGCTCACTATTCCACCAGGGATCGAATCCAGGACTTCCAAATTGTAAGACTAATATCGAGAAGAGAGAGCTGAACAATTTCAATGAATGCTTGCTGCAAATAATAGTAAAGTCTATTTCAAGCCGTCTAATTCTCTGGAGAAAGCTTTGATGAATGTCAGAGATATGATATGATTCCCAAAATGTCACAAAGTAATTGTGTCTATAGGATACAGTGTTCAGAAATGGAAAGCTTGCTATCCATACAGGGGAGAGCAGTAGGCAGGTGAAGGTCAGAGTGAATGAACATAGACTGACTGTGCCGAAAACGTCCACCTAGAAATGAAGTAGAATTAAAAAGTCTAGAAAAAAGATCGGCTATAGCAATGCATGCGATAGACAACGAACACAAGATTGATTCCGACAATGTCAAAATTGTAGAAAGAGGATTTCATTCAACACATAAAGAAAGGTTGACCTCTGAAGCCAGCGCTGCATATTTTAACCACATCGAATGCAGTGAATAGGAAAGAAGCAGTAGACTTATCGCCTATATGGCAAACTCTAATCAAGCAAGACAGATAAAATGACAACAAAAACCTCTATGAGCCTCCATGACCTTTCCATATGACAAATAACATACACTCACACACACTCATACAGAAAAAATATACACAATAAAGATTTGACATTAGTCATTACAAATATATGTTGTGATGACTGCTAACATATTGCTATTGGTACAAAGGTCTATCGACAAGTGACCTTCAAATAAACTGACTTCAATTTATGTAAACATTTTTGACTATATATTTTGATGATTAATAAAAATCCGAATAATTCTGATGAAGAAGCTGTGGTTTACACAGCGAAACGTTCAGAAAAGAGATTTTGTTTTGATTTTTCTTAAACACGCTGAGATTATGTATTAAATAATTTATAATGAATCAATCTGACTCGTTGCTCAAATTATTCCAAGAAGTTCCTAACATTTACGGTCTGGAAACTTATAAACATATATATATATATATATTACCTACGATAAAAGAGGAGAATAAGTACAAAGTCATTTGAAACCTTCTAATAAGCTGGGATAGCGTTATTAGAAGACGGAGATTATCTGAAAAATATTGTGATGTGATGTATTTGCGCTATACACTTCGAACAATCTGATCACTCACCATTTACTTGTCAAGTCAATATATATATATATATATATATATATATATATGAAAAAGTTAAATTGAACAAAGTGACAAAAATAGGATTTAAGAATGATTTACACAACGTTTGGTGATCCAATCAAATAAAGATTTAAAACAATTATTATTATTGTATCCTTTAGTTCCTAGAGGAACATCGGGCTTCAACCGCGCGTCTCAATTGCGTTCGATTCTTTGCCAACGTTTTCACCCCGCTCCAAGTCACCCCACATTCTTTGATCTCCTCCTCGCATGACCTCCTCGAAGTCAACCTCACGCTGACGACCAACTCGCCGCCTCCCTTTCGGGTTCCACTCAAGCGATGGCTTGTCTAGTGATGTCAGTCACTTGATGGTTTACTCAGCGTGTGGTCAATCCATCTTCATTTCTTCCTGCCTATTTGTTTCACAATCGGTTCCTGCTGAGTTGGTTTGCTCATTGCCAGAGATCCCTATTGCTGATCTTTTCTGACCATCTGATCTTGAGTGGTATTCAGCGAAGACAACTGTTAATGAAGGTCTAAAATTTGTTTGAGATGCTCTTTATGACGCGCTAGCCAAGTCTCTGATCCGTAAAGGAAGTGGCACTGACTTCACATTGGAGTTGAAAATCCGGATCTTATTTTTGATGCTGAGTGCTGTTGACCTCCACGCAGATTTGAGAGTAATGAAAGCTTGTCTTGCTTTTCCGATTCTGGCTTTGATATCCCCGTCAGTTCCGCCTGTAGTTCCCTTTATGAATTTAGTTAGACAAAGCAATAAGAAGACGTAATTTGTCTGAATCGTGTAATGTGTATTTGTGCAACACATTTCAAACAATCTCATCACACTCCACGCACTTGTCATAGGAATGCTTATATATTAAATTTATAAAGAGTTAAGAGGTGAGAAAATACACCAATTAGGTCAAGTTAAAGGACATATTGAAGGTCAAAATAACAATGAAGACCACTAAACCAAATAACAGAGGTAATAGTACATCTGCTATGATATCAAAACAAAGTTTTCCAAAGAAGGTTTAATGTGATGATGAATTGCTTTTGATGAACGCATAAAGGTGGCTTAAATTTCTTAATTGCTAGCTAGGGCTTCCACTAACTTTAGGATACGCCCCAAACACGTTTCATAGATAGATAGGTTTAAAAGGTCTGTTAACGTCAGTTTTATGTCCTGTCTCTATAATATGTTTCGCAATAGAAGAGCTAGGTCTTCTGTTCTCACCGTGAATAGGTTCTGAAGATTCCATTTGTTTCTGGAGCCATATAGGAATATACTCTGAAACCAGCCCTTACTTGCAGAGATCGATGAGTCCTCCCTATGTATGTGCGTGTGTCCACACATACATTAAAATTGATAAATACAGTGGGATGTGGAATCATTTTTTCGCATGTGCGTCGGTGGCACAGTGGTTAGGACTCTCGCCGACCATGCACATGGTCCGGGGTTCGAGCCCACGCCGGCGCACACCTGATATCTATGGTCGGCCTGCAAATTTGGGCTACCGATATCCATGCTGAAAATTCCATACTTGTACCAAAAATACAGTGTGGAATCAAGCTGTAAATAAAAAATAAAATAAAAATGTTTAGATAGATATAATGGCTTTACATTCTCTATGAATATGATATTAGCTGCATAAAAAGTCTTTTTAACAGCAGAGTTCAGTCTTTGTCTAGTAATCAAGCTGCTATGATGCCCCATACAGAGTAGGTAGCTTGATGTACACTTCTTTCTTAGGGGCGAGTTGTAGAGTGGGTCCTGGTGTTCCACTGACTACTTTATATCTCCTGATGAATTTGTCTGGATAATTGTTATCAACCAGAGTCTGTATCAACTTTCTTTATTCTTCATCAAGTGTGTCTTCAGTGCATATTCGTTGGATTCTACTGAAGAGGCACCTTACTAAGGCTCTTTTGTACCGAACAGGGCAGAAACTGTGGTAAATAAGACACTGTCCTGTCCAGGTAGGTTTTCTATAAATAGATCTTTTTATTGACCCATCAAGCCGTCGACTAAGCAATATGTCTAGGAAAGATAAACAATTATCTTCCTCTTCTACAGATCTAAGTGATATGCTATTCTGAACTTCATTTATTTTTTATTTTTTGATTACAGCTTGATTCCATACCGTATTTTTTTAGTACAGGTGTGGAATTTTCAGCGTGGATATCGGTAGCCCAAATTTTGCAGGCCGACCATAGATATCAGGTGTGCGCCGGCGTGGGCTCGAAACCCGGACCATGTGCATGGTAGGCGAGAATCCTAACCACTGTGCCACCGACGCACATTCGATTAAAATTGAGGTGGTAGAACAAGGCTTATCACTGATGACCACGATATCACCAAACCTTTTATGAAGTGGCGCATTTTCGATTAAATCATCCGATAAATTCTCACTTTGTTTAACTTAACTTTTTCATATATATTAACTTGACAAGTAAATGTGTGAGGGATCAGATTATTCGAAATGTATAGCGCAAATATATCACATCACAATATTTTTCAGATAATCTCCGTCTTCTAATAATACTATCCAAATTTATAAAAGGGACTAATTGTTTTAAACTTCTAACAAATATCATTATTGTAATTACATCGTTCAGGTGAAATTTTCAAAGCAGTTATTCCGCTAAACATTAAATTATCATCATTGAATAGATATGTATTACAATTCTGACTCTTTGTCTTCATTGCAGAGAATTTCGTCAACTTGTAATTGATATGGTCTTGTGTACGGATATGTCGCTTCATTTTCAACAAATTAAAAATATGAAAAGTATGATTTCTATGCCTGAAAGGTGAGTCGACAATTGAATGAGGAATTCTTTTAAAAACATTTTATTGATTCACTTCAACTAATATCACAAAGGAAGCCAGAGGCCGGTGTGCCTTCCTTGATTACACATCTGCATTTCACTCTGTACCTAGGTGTCTCTTGCTAAGTAAGCTTACTGTAACACAGACTGAGAGGTGGACAAATAAATGGTTGCATTCCTGTTTTTTCTGATAGGAAGCAAGCAGTACACCGTCTACAATGGAAAGTCCTCCACTTACTACCTCACTTACTTTAGCTGGTGTTCCTCAAGGTGATGTTCTTTCTCCTTTTCTGTTTTCTTTTTTCTAACATGACTTGCCTCATTCTGATGCAGCCACTTTTGTTAAGTACACCGATGACGTCTCTGTTTCTATGCCTGTCAACTCTCAGTCAGATTGTTCCAAATTAAATAACATTCTGTTGGAAATTAGTCAGTGTTCCTCTTCAAACGGTCTTAAGCTGAATCCGTCTAAATGTCAAGTAATCAGTTTCACTTTCAGACGTAAACGTGATCTACAGCAACTACTTAGCTCACATGGCCCCACTATCATTGACGGCACAGAGGTTGAAAATACATTTAATGTCAATTACCTTGGGCTGAGGTTTTCCACCGATCTTTCCTGGTCCTCCCACATCTTGCTAGTTACTAGAAAGATGTTTCGCTTAACGTTCTACGTTATGAAGTTAAGGCAGTCTGGCATAAAGCAGTCTTTGCTTCTCAGTTTGTCAATTCTTGTATTCTACCCATCCCCCTTTACTGCTCCCCATTAATCTTTCCTGGACTACTTAAGAAAGTCTTTGTTTTACTGAGAAGGGCACTAAAAGCCGTTAGTAGGGATAGTGGGATATCGTTAAACCAACTGGTTAATACTATTGTGGATAGACGTATAATGTCATGTAAGAAACTAACGAATACAATATTGTCAGACCCCGAGCATCCTCTCTATATGCAGCTGTCTCCTTACATTTCATCTGGTAGAACTAGAAGCAGCTATAGGCGGCTGGCTATATGCTAGGACTACCAAGTACAAAAACTCCACAATACCTTATCTGGCACAACTGCTATGTGATGAGAAATCCGTTAGGTATGACACGATCAATTTACAGCGCGCACTCTAACAAATAGTCCCATTAGTTTTTGTTTTCCTTTCTTCGTTACTATTACACTATTGTTGTTCACATCTTCTATTACACAATAATTTTATATTTCGTATCCTGTGGTGCATTGTATGAAATGTAAACGCAACGCTGTTCTTTTTATTTCTTTTTATTTATCTTTTTCTTGGGTGTTGCTTTTTGATTTTAAAATCTTATAAAATTTATGAGATAATTAGATGCAATATATTGTAATGCACGCTGAAAATTCCATACCTGTACCACAAATACTGTTTGGAATAAAGCTGTTATTATTATTATATTAAATTTCCAGCAGATTCTAAAAAGTACATCTACAATTATAGTAGTGTTGAATTAAATACGGTGCAACTTGAAGTACTTTCTCTTGGCCTTCGATTTTGTGATAGACCAAAACGAGTTAATCACTTAGATACTGATATTGAATTTTTGAAAATCTATTTAGTCAAACAAGGGATCTCGTACCATCATCCACCTTGGAACTAGAACGCTTCAAATCCAGTCTAGTGGATTGTTGTTATCAGTGTAAAAACCTCAAATGAGACAGTAGAAGTTTCTTGACAAAGAAGCACAGACAAGAGCTAAAAAATTGATAAATGATGAGAGACTGGTCATCACAAAGCCGGATAAAGGATCAGGAGTGGTCCTCCTTGATAGAAGTAACTATATTAAAAAGATGAATGATATATTGAAGGACACACGGAAGTTTCAAAAACTTGAGGAGAAGAAAGATTTCACCAACAAAATCGAGAATGAATGGACCAGACATTTTAAGAAACTAAGGGAGGAGCAGATATTTTCTGAAAGTTTATATGAAGAAATCAGACCAACGGGCGCGTATACACCAACATTGTATGACCTACCTAAAGTGCATAAACCAGGGGTACCATTAAAACCAATACTTGATATGCAAAATTCGCCCTACCATGCTCTAGCTAGGTGGTTAGTAAATATTCTCAAACCTTTGCATGAGAAGATAGTGAAACATAGCGTCAAAGATTTGAATTTGTAGACAAAATAAAAGATATTATTATCAAAGACAAAACCTGGACGTCTCTGGACATAACATCGTTATTTACAAATGTACCTCTAATAGAAACAGTTAATTACATAGGTGAACAAGTGGATAACCCGTTGATAAACATTGGCATCCGTACTGAAATCCTAAAAGAAATGTTGTTAAGGTGTACCATGAATGTAAACTTCAAATTTAACGACATGATTTACAGACAAGTTGACGGGGTGGCGATGGGCTCCTCATTGGGTCCCATTCTGGTTGATTTCTTCCTAAGTAAGCTAGAAAATGGACCTTTGAACAACCTTATCAGTAAGTTCTCATTTTATTGCCGATATATGGATGATACCTTCATTCTTTGTGATAATGGTTCTGATAGGAGTACAATAATTACTGAATTCAATAAAGTATATTCGGCTATGAAATTCACATGCGAAGAGGAATCCCAAGACAGAATTGCCTTCCTAGAAGTCCTTCTTACAAGAAAACCAGATGGTAGCATAAAAAGAAATTTGCATAGAGAGAGCACTTGGACAGGACAATATACACACATTTTCACAGCTTCGTTCCTATCAAGTACAAAAGAAATTTAGTGAAGACCCTCATCCACAGAGTTAGTTAGAACTACATGCTCAGAAAAAGTAATTGAAGATGAATTAAGCATTGTATATGATACTCTGATCGAAAATAGCTATCCCGAAACATTTATCAAGAAACACATGACAAAGAAAGCGGAGGAAAAGGACTACTCACTATCTGTAAACAAGAAGCCACTTTATATACGACTGGAATTCAAGGGCGATATACCAAGTGAGTTAATTACGAGGAAATTGAGAAAATCAGTTCAAAGAAATTTTAATGCTGGCGAACTACACCTGTTATTCTCTACACGACCGATGATGATTCCTCTACTGAAAGATGAAGTACCTAGACTGGCTAGCCCCTTCAAATTTTATCTACCAATTCAACTACGCTTGTGGACTGAGTTATATTGGCCGTCGCTCTAGGAACTTGATTTTTCGTGCTCGAGAGCATCCCGCACTACGGCTAAGTAAAGGTGTAGTTAAAACCATTAATAGTTCGATATTAAACCATCTTGTGCGAACCGGCCACAAAGCCAGCCATAGTGGAAGAATCCTTCTCTATCATCTACCGGGTGCCTAATAAATTGCCAAAATCATAGAAGCACCGCATGCTCCAAACACCAGAGGCTATTACAATTCGCCTCAAACAACCAGTGCTTTGTGTGCAAAAGAAACAAGTCCAGCCAGCCACTACTACTGCCCTGACCAGCCTTCAATAGAGACTAGAAATTCATGAATTTGTAATATTATCTTTCCTAATTCTTCTGACATTCAGCTTATTTTATGTTGATGTTAATGAGCTGTAATCTATCAATATTATTGATTCGATGTTATTTAAACAGCAACATTAATGTTGTTCATAACACTAATTCATTCATTCATTCATTCACTATAATGTATATATAACTGTAGAGCCTGACGATGAAGGGGTTATCGAAAAGAGTATTCTTTGTTCAGTAACCATTCTTATGAAAAATATCACAAGCATTTTAGCAGTGAAGAGAAAGTTTATAAGATTCTACAATAACGTTTTCAAAAAGTTTTCATGTATCTTTTGATGGTGTTGTAGAAGATATGTAGCTTATTTAGATACTTTTGGCATCGCTGTATTGGGAGGCCAGTCGACCAACGTGTCTTCCTTCCATGATAGAGAAATTAAGTACAGGAAACTGAAATTATGTAGCCATTTTTAAGGCTCACTGGCAAGGTTGCCAACATTTATGAAGAAACGTAAAGATATGGCTTGTAAGTGACAGGAATAGAAGTGTACTCCTCAAACTGTTAATTTTAGCATCGATAATCTACTCTAGTCACTCAGACGACAGCCACTAGCATGCTGATAGTCTGGCTATCATGATGTCGCCAACAATATCGAATGCTTGTATGCCTTGGGAGACAATCTCCCTCAAGAAGGAATCCTAGCGTTAATATAAACCTATAAATCATAAGTTTCTTTAAGCAAACCAACATGACTAACTGTGTATCCAGAACAGTTCAACACAGAACAACAAGAATAATTGTGGATTTAATGCGAAAAGGTATACACATCCCTACTACACACAGACGCGAAGATCTACAGGCGAAAACGTGGCTTCAGGTGAACATAGAAATGAAAGAGGTGGTGAAGTTACTCAACTAACAACAACGAAAACAAGCACCAAACACTATCAAGAGGAGAAATTTGAATAATGTCGCTTCTTTCACTTATTTACATAGTATCATTTCATATACAGATAGCACAGATTAGGATGTCAAACGCAAGCTAGACAGACCTTGATCAACCCAAAATCTGTGTGGGAATCTGCTACACCAATTATACAGAACAATATTTGGATTCTGTTCAACACTAATGTCAAGTGAAATACATAATTTTACATGGATACCATTCTTTCATACAATGATTCCCTTTTGATAAATTTGAACAAAGAAAGAAGAAACATTGGCGACTTGTGACTTCTCTATTCACCCAAATCCCTCTGCATGAGACAATAGACATCATCTGTCAATACTCTGATCTTCTTCCTCTACCAAAAACTGGAATTTAAGCAGCTTCTCATGTTATGTACTAATGATATACACTTCCAATTTGACAACAGAATGTATCACCAGGTTGATGATGTGATAATGGGGAGTCCACTGGACCCGATATTAGCTGATATCTTTATGGTCAGTTTGGAGCAGACAAAGCTCAAGTGTGCAATTGGCGAAACAACAGCCTACTCTATAGATACGTTGATGACACATTCATTGTATGCAATGATTTGAGTCATGCTTCGTCAGCAATGTACACAAAAGCATCATCTTTACGATGGAGCATGAAGATGATGAAAAATTCCATTTTTTGGACATAAAGTTGGAGCGAAAATACGACAGGGCACTCGAAAGACCTGGATATCGTAAAGACACATGGAGTGGCATTTACTTGAATTTCAACAGCTTCTGCCCAGTTAGATACAAACGAACGCTGGTGAAAACGCTTTTCTCTAGAGCGAAGAGAATATGTTCACCAAACAAACTAGACAGTGAAATAATGCTTCTTGAAGAATGCTTAAAAGAAAATGGTTATCCACAAAGTTTCATTAACAAATATGGCAAGAATGAACTCAAGGAGCTTGATTCAGTTACAGTCAGTAAGAAGCCTATCTTCATCAAACTTGACTATAAGGGCGATGACATTATGAGAATAGTTAATAAAAGATTAAGCGCAGCCCTGTCTAGGACGTATCCTGCAGCGTTATTAGTCTCTCTATCCCGAACAACCTCTTCATTGGTGCAGTCAAAGATTGACAAGTACCCCTTACATATTACTTCCAACTGTGTATACCAATTCACATGTATCTGCGGGAGCGATTATGTTGGAAGAACAAAGAGGAGGGCCTACGTCCGATTCTGTAAATATGTACCAAGGAAACTCCGGTTAAAAGGGATCGAATTGTTTAAGCTCTTCAATCACCGCCAAACACCTGATTGATATAGGACACCGAGTAGATGTGTTGGAATCATTCAAAATAATTAAAACAGACAAAGTACCTCAAGTCTTCTTAGGTTTGCTGAAGCTATAGCAATAAAACGATTGAAGCCTGATTTATGTGTCCAAAAAGAATCCGTTGTTGGACTTCAATTACCACGGTAACTCATTTCTTAGTAACCCTTTGTTTTCTAATTTTGTTAACTTATCTTTTCACTCCACCCCCCACTACCTTTATTTTTCGCTTAACATTCTTAAGAGATCATTTTTCTTGATCTTCTGAGTTCTGCCCACTGTATTACATCATCAACTTCTCATCTGACCTCATGTGTACTGAAATTTTAAAATTTTGACCTTCTCTTATCTAATTACGTAAATGTTGCTAAATTTCTTTTGTTACCACCCCAACAACACAACTTTTAATTTTTTCAAGAAACTTCTCTCTACCAAGATATATATATATATGTCGTAACACTAGACACTCTGTAAGTCTCAACGCCTTATTTTACTACGACGCGCTTACAGTATGCTTGCTAATGGACAAAGATTGTGCGCAGCTAATGAGAACCAATATCAAGTTAGTCAGTGATTCTTTGTAGCTCAATGACTTGGTGAGGGCATCATCAAAACCATTTTGAATAAGTTTAAGGCATTTATCAATAACTGCCTTCTCTGGCTTCATACTAAAGAACAAATGGCCAGATAGAAAGCAACAGGGAACTGAACCTATGAATCTGTCAAAAATCTTTCGCCCAATAAATATCTTCCAAGCAATGAAGGTCAGTTGGACGCACACTGGAGAGACGGCTAAGTAAGGTCACACATCAGGTAGCCCATTGAATGGGACACAAATAGGAAGTGATGAGTTACGCGTAGGTCCGAGACTAATGTGGGGGAGGTCGTGTGACGTGCAGATGACAGCTTATTTGCGATCCTGAAGCCAGCTAAAACGAACTGTAGATAACACGATGAAATGAAGATGTTCTGTCGAAGCTCTGCATTCCGCTAAGAACCTAAAGAATAATACTAGATGACAATAATATCACTTAAATATAGCTTTCAAAATTAATCTCTAAGTGCTTACTTTTGTTTAAAAACTTTAATTTTAGCATTGACAAGACAAAAGCATTATCCTTGATTGTACATTGTGCGGATATATCACATCCAGCTAAAGAATGGAATCTACACGAAAAATGGTCGGATATACTATGCGAAGAATTCTTTAGACAAGTGAGTTCAGAGACTCTGTTTCTCTGCAAAATTATTGTTATTCATATGAACTATGACCAAGATTTGAGTGGATAGTTCCACAGTATAATTGGGCACCGAGTGAGAAGTAGTCATTTGTATAAAAAAAAATTATATTTGTTAAATCTCAGCGAAATTGAAATCATTAATTCCAACGTTTCCTGCGTTAGACAATCTAGTCCGAACTTCTTCAAGGAAACTAATCGAAATTAACATAACAGCAGAGGTTTATATGTAATAAAAAGGATATCTCTTGTTTTTAAAAACTTTGTCCAATCATATGAATCATGAACACAGGTATCAACATGTATAATAAACAAAATTGTATGAACTGTGATCAAAATTTGACCTGAGACTTTCAAAAATTAGTCTACTTTTGTTAAACACACTTTAAACAGAGTGTACTTTTCATCAGCTTACGTTCGACTAAAAGTTTATGGTCGTAGGTAACTGAATATGAAAATATATGCGGCATTATAGCAGCTTGACAAATAGACAAGCCCTTCGAACATGCGAAAAAAGACGTCACATCCCACTGTATTTGCCAATTTTAATGTATATGTGGACACACATGCATAGGGAGGACTCATCGATCTCTGCAAGTAAGGGCTGGTTTCAGAGTATATTCCTATATGGCTCCAGAAACAAATGGAATCTTCAGAACCTATTCACGGTGAGAACAGAAGACCTAGCTCTTCTATTGCGAAACATATTATAGAGACAGGACATAAAACTGACGTTAACAGACCTTTCAAACCTATCTATCTATGAAACGTGTTTGGGGTAGGGCGTATCCTAAAGTTTGTGGAAGCCCTAGCTAGCTAGCAGTTAAGAAGTTTAAGTCACCTTTATGCGTTCATCAAAAACAATTCATCATCACATTAAACCTTCTTTGGAAAACTTTGTTTTGATATCATAGCAGATGTACTATTACCTCTGTTATTTGGTTTAGTGGTCTTCATTGTTATTTTGAACTTCAATATGTCCTTTAACTTGGCCTAATTGGTGTATTTTCTCACCTCTTAACTCTTTATTAATTTAATATATAAGCATTCCTATGACAAGTGCGTGGAGTTTGATGAGATTGTTTGAAATGTGTTGCACAAATACACATTAAAACAATTAGTCTCTTTGATAAATTTGAATAAGGCATTAAGAAGACAAATTTCGCGAGATGATGGCATCATTTCGTAGTTTCTTTACAACCGCTTTACAACTAACATGGTTAACAATGATAAAATAAAGTTCATGAAAATTACTCAGTTCATAAAGGGAACTAATTGTTTTGAAATATATATATATATATATATATATATATATATATATATATATATATGCAGTATACAATGGTGTGTGTGTTTGTGTGCATGGATAAACAGTTGTAAAACATATGTTAGCTACTCCATAAAAAGATATAAACAATTGGGAATTTTGGCCAAGTATACACATCCCTACTACACACTAACCCGAAGATCTACAGGCGAAAACCGGACTTCAGATGAACATGGAGATGTAAGAGGTGATGAAGTTAACACAAAAGCAGACTAATTTTTGAAAGTCTCAGGTCAAATTTTGATCACAGTTCATACAATTTTGTTTATTATGCATGTTGATACCTGTGTTCATGATTCATATGATTGGACAAAGTTTTTAAAAACAAGAGATATCCTTTTATATACAAACCTTTGTTATTTAATTGAATTTTAGATTTTCCCGTCGATTGATTGGACTGAAGTGCTCAGTCTCAGGTTGACATGTCGGCTTCTTGTACAGATGTTTCGACGATATCTTGGCATGTAATTAGAATTTAATTGGTGGATGGTGACTAGCAGTGCAATCAAGCGAGGATGCACATTTCGTCCTATTTGGGACTTCTCAGCCAGTGAATGTACCCGCACTCCCCAGCAAGTGATGATGTTCCCGCACCGAGGCTTAAACCCAGTGCCCATAGTTTCACCATCCACCAATTAAATTCTAATTACATGCCAAGATATCGTCGAAACATCTGTACAAGAAGCCGACATGTCAACCTGAGACCGAGCACTTCGGTACAACCAATCGACGGGAAAATCTAAAATTGAATTAAATAATTAATACAACCCGTTGCACAATAGGTGGCTCTCGATGTCCAAGTGGTCTAGTGGATAACGCCTTGGCGTTTGAAACTATGGGCACTGGGTTCGAGCCGCGTTACAGGGTGAAATGCAGCTACATCCACATGACGAGTCCCAAATGGGTCGAAATGCGCATCCAGGCTGGATTCCACTGTTAGTCACCATCCACCAATTAAAATCTGTTATGTTGATTTCAATTAATTTCCCTGAAGGAGTTCTGGCCACCAGATTGCCGAATGCAGGAAAAGTTGGAATTAATCATTTCAATTCATCTGAGATTTTACAAATATAATTTTTACAAATTATTGCTATTATTTAAGAAAACTGTTATTCCCATGAAGTGGCAAGATTACTCTCAGCGTCTGCTCTTAACTCATTGCCTTCGTATTAACAAGTAGTTTGATGGTCAAAGAAATAAAGTTTAATGACAAATATGTAGGTTGTATGCAATCAGCAGGAAGCCTGTTGGCACTCACCAACCAAAAAAGGTTTATTTGAAATCCTCTAGGAACTAGTATTCCTTCTGAAATCCGAACTCATACCATTTCGTGCTCTGAAGTTACAGACGGAGTTATTCATACTGACGATTGACTTCCTGTAGGGCTGTAATAGATACCTTAACCGTACTAATGTCATGCTTCTACTGATTTCTATCAGTCAAGTTTTATTTGAATCAACAGCAGCCCTATTTTATTCCGTGCCTTAGGTAGACCATAATAATATGGATTTTTATCTCATATACTCTGAATTATTTAATAGTTCAAGGCTTCGTATTTACCAACACTCATCAGGAAAAGATGGATTCCTAGAAAAAAGATTTTATTTTAGTTACAAGTTTGATCACCAGTTAACACCAGTTGGAGAACCATCGGGAAACCAAAACGGAGTACTGGACATCTATTTTATCCTAGTTTGGGACTCTTCCACAGTACTCACCCACTGGCTCGTGATTGCACCATATATATATCGCGAATCGGCAGAAGTTGGAATGCTCTGTGGACTTGCCTTTTAACTGGAAGGTCCTGGACCCAACTTCTGACTAGATGATGCATACGCGTTGTCAACAGGTCACAGTAGCTATGACTGATTAACAAACACTGGTAAGTAAAAGTGGTCGGAGGGAATCGGGAGAAAGCCTGAGACCTTGGGTTTATCCCTACAAGCACTCGTCATCAAGATGCTTCTGCAACCTCAAAGGAAATGATGCTACTTTAGAGTTTCAGACATGGGTGTCACTTAGCGCTAAAGTCAGTGATGTTACAAATGATCTCTTTGGGCTCTCTATTGTCCCCCTGTAGGCCTCTAATGACATAAATACTGATTGGTCAACTAAAAATGTAACCAGTCAACTTAATCATGTAATTCTGAACACTTAATATTATCTTCAATCAACCGTTTTGGAAGCACCCATCAATATTTTTTTCTAAGAAAACGTTTTAAACCAATAAACAATTTTAACACATTTTCTTTTAATTATAGGGTGATCGAGAACGTGAATTAAATCTTCCTATATCACCGTTGTGTGATCGTAATACAGTTATTGTGCCTCAATCACAAATTGGTAAGTAAATCAGGGATATATCTGCTTTTTGAATAAAATTCAGCCTTTCCTATATCATTATTAATCCATCCAATTCCGAGTAAAATAAAAAACTTTAACAGGACATCTACATTTTGTTTTGTTCAGCTAGAGTTCTCTGTAGTTGACTCGACGATTTCTCAAAATCTCTCATCTCCTCACATGATCTTCTTCACATCAACCTTGGATCTGCACCCAACCAGTCATCTCCCATTTAGGTTCAACTTGGGGATTCATCACGCAATGTGACCAGGAGGTCTCCTGAGTATCGTATGTTTGACGCGTCTCCATTTTCTATGGAATACTGCTTAGGTAATAGGATATTGGTTGAATTGTGACCGAAGTTCCTTGTCACTATTCCTTTCTGGCTGACAATATGATCTTCAGGACGGAGCCAGTGAAGGTAGCTGTGGACAAAAGTGTGCAGTAACCTGTCTGAAGTGCTTCTGTTGACGTACTGCAGATCTCTTTAGCAAGTAGAAGAATTGATTTGACACTGCTGATAAAATTCCGAATCTTATTCTTAGTGCCGTCAGAAAAGCAAACTTTCTTTTAGATTTTTGTTACTACTAGAGACAAATTTAAGTAGCAAGTTAAATTTTCACGTATTTGACAACAAACTACACCACCTAGTTCTGAAATCCCAGTAAGTGAAATAAAAATGAGCTTCACTAGTACTAATATCATGAATAGAATAAACATTTCAATATAACATAAGTTATTCGTAGGATGCTTTCTCTTATTTGTTTTATGGAGACTAGCAGTGAAATCCAGGATACGCAGTTCGTCCTATGTGGGACTCGTCAATGAATGTACCGGCATTCGGCAAACGCTTTGGCGTTTGAAATGATGGGTACTGGATTCGAATTTCAATTGGAACGCTCTTATTACTCTGTGAGGATTGCAGGTTCATTCAGCCGATGAGTTCTAAATAGGACGAAATGCGTATCATCGATTCTACTGCAATAGTATCAGTGTTAACTCTGAGACATCCTCGAAGCGTCCTCATTAAGAGCAGAGATATCAAGGCATCCACTTCTGGTTCATTCAGTCAGAGGGAAAGACGAAAATTCATGATAAATACCGGTGGAATCCAAAATGTGAACGTTTCATCCTGTTTGAAACCTGTCTACTGAATAGTGACGTCCCTATGGAGACCCCAAAGTTACTATCAGCCGTCTTACATGCTAAAGACTTTTCTTTTAGGCTACAGAGTTACAAAATTTATTCCTTATAAAACGGATATCACACCGTATTTATCGAAACTTTGATTTTTCCTCGTTGTTTGATTTTATTGAACTGAAAGTGATCGCTCTTCGTGGGTATATTATTTCCAAATACAGATGATTCATTGATACCATTGATGTATACTTGGATGTCATCAAATTGGTAAGAGTGTCAAGGGAAATACAATGACTGATATAAGTGTAAGACTTGAGCACTGTGGCGTTAGAGTCTGACTCAATTATGAATAAAAATTTATTTTGATAAAGTTACACACAGTGGTGTTATACAGTAAGTAATATTTACTGATGACAACGTTTCGAGCGCAATTTATTGCTGATAATAATCACATAAAGGCATTACTCGCACAACATGAGTAAAAATTGGTGATTAGACATTTGAATACAAATCAGTATAAGATAAAGTACATTCATATATAACATTAGTGTTGTCAATCAAATACAAAAGGATGGTAAATAAGATGCTTTTGTAGTAAAATAAATAAATAAATAACCTGTTAGAATGTTCTAATGTGAATTGAATTGAAATACATTTTAACATTATTTATTATCCTCATCTGATTTGACTGGTGGTAATAATATCTTCCATACATGTCTCTGGTATTTGCGTTGAGTCATTTCTGTTGCATGTGTTGGGTGTAGACTCGATGAACCAGGAAGAATTCAGTAATCAACCTCTCTCGCTTTCCACCTACATGGATTACTTTTTAGAATTTTAATCCTCTCCCACCATGCTATTGTGTGGTTGTGTGTTAATGCATGCAGTGCAATGTAGTGCTGATCTTTTTTCTAAATTGCTAATCTTCTCGGGATCAACCATTCTTACCTTAGCTAAATTCTTGTGTTCTGACAATCTGACTACCCCGATTCTACTAGTTTGACCTATGTATTTTATCTCACTGACAGTCATTGCAAGGTATTTTGTAAATTATGTTATTTTGTTTGATTGAGTTCACTGGGTCCTTTAGCCTACACAGCAATGTAATCACTTATTGCGAAGTACGAATATTTAGCTGACAAGCTCCAAGATAGATGAACACCTCCCCTTCCTATATCCCAGTGCTAACCACTACCTATTAAACAAAATATGGAATTAAAATCGAAAGGATCGTGAAATAGCGTCTATGAGGAGTCAATACAATCATAAAGATCAATTATTTTGATCCGATAAACAAAAATAACAGAAAGTTCAAAGTTTCAATACACAGACATATATAATATTCTTCAAGGTCACTGAACTTTATTTATGCAGCAGAATAGACCATGTTTGCATACAACGACGATTCTTTTGCTAGAAGTCATTATCAGACGCTTTCAAAACTATCTCTACAATCAGATTCATCAAAAACTTACACACGGCAACTTACACGGCAAAGACAGTACTAACTTAGTTTAAACACCGAGTTAAAAATTCCTTGAAGGCTTCAAAATAATTTTAAAAATATGCAGAAAACAATGGAGATGGATCGGGCACAGCCTGTGGAGACGACTGACTGACATCAGGCATTAAGCAGGCCCTCGAGTAGAACGCGAATGGAAAAAGATGAGTTGGGTGTAGGCCCTTGGATGACATAAAGAAGATCTTATGAGCAGGAGATGAAACCTTTTTGATAGTCATGAGGTCAACTGAAGACGACTACACGCAGCTGGACATAAACGTAGACGTATTATTGAAACCCTATTTCCCAGCGGGAACCCAAGGGAATAATAACCGTAATAGTTCATAGAAAAAATACAAAATGATTTCAAAACAGGGGAACACGTATGAGAGACAGAGAAAGCGTAAATAGTTTAACGAAATAATGGCGAGGACATTCAGAACTTCTATCATGGCAAAGAACGAATAACCTCTACGTCACTAGCAAAGGCTTTCTACTAGGTTGAAAAACAGCTCCACCCTTTGATCCCCAGCATTTATAAAAACTTAGCCAAACAACTTGTACCTTGTTGCGTAGTTGAAACAAGTGACAACAACTTCGTTAGTTTCATGTTTTGATTTGATCAGGCTTAACTCTTTTTCAGCTTAAAACTCCTCCTCTCCCTGTGCCTATGGAGATAGGTGAGCTGTCTTAAACTGTCTTTCCTAAAGTATATATAAAATAAGACAGGTTAAAAGTCAGTCTAAACGAAGAATATTCGTTTTTCAATAATTTCTCGTCTTCAGTTTCTTTCAATTATAAAATATAATATTTGTTTGTTATCGTTACAATAAAGGCCAGTTATGCGGCGGATACATTTTTTTTTTAACTTAGAATAACAGATTAGCAGTTATTCGGTGTCAAAATAAACAGTCGTATTTGTGTGAAGAACGTGCTAGTTGGCTGAAATCGATTAGAAAATATTTCGGTGAAATGGGAGACAACGGTGGTGATTAATCATAACAGATTTGTAGAGTGTGGGGGTAGGAAAATTGACAAGTCAGTTCAAGGTTATAAAATGTGTCAGGCGAGTGAGTGAGTGAGTGGCTAGTACAAAGTGGTCTGTGTTAAACAGGAGATAGTAAGACTGCAATGAGTGTTGGTTCATAATGAAATAACGAATGCGTGAAATGAAACAGGTGGAGGCATAATATTGACAAAACAGATAATATCACTAATAATAAGTCTGAATGGTATAAATGGAAAATTCGATAGTACTGAGGGAATGTTTGCATAAAGGGCATAAATTATGGCGAATAATAATAATTGTAATAATAAGCGAAGGAAAAAAACCAAGAGGGATAAGGGGAAGAGACACTCCTGGTGAGAAGAAGAACCATCAATCCAAGTTTGGCCACAGTAGGAACAGCGTCTGAATGTGTTCTTTTTGGATACAAAGTTCCGGTTTAGTAGATCTTACTGCAACAGCTTCAGCTATGTGTAGGAGATGTAAGCGAACTGTACGTGATAACGACTTCGGAATCCGATATATAACCCTGAAAGCTGTGTTGGCGTCGATGTGATCTCCAGTATCGACCAAGTGGGACAGGATCGAGCTTTTAGGCATTTAATTTCCCCCATGCTGAACCAAACTGGCAAATTTTCTCGGCCCCTCGGACGAACCTTCCTAATCGTGCGCCCTATATAACTTGAACCTCAGGAATAGTTGAAATGGCATATGCATGAAAAAGTTTTCTATATCTCCCTGGTTAAAAGTGGCGTCAGAATCTCCACAGGAGTAACCCCCCTGAATTGTAGACATAGAAATAAAGGCTTTTTTTCCACCATTGCCGGCTCACGTTTATGAGTATTGTAACCTATATTGACCTTTATAAACTTCCTTGGATATCCTGGGCCACATGTCACACATATACTAATTATCTGTCACCTTATAACTAATCTGTTATTCTGCGTAAGAATATATCCACGTCGTAAGTGACTTATTGTAACGATTAACGAGAGAGAGAACTGATTAAAATGAGTATTATTCGTTCAGACCAACTTTATAATTCATGACATCATAATGTTTCCTATTCTAAAATCTTATGATACAGATTAATTTGTTGCGCAGCAGATATCTGCCCCGTCGGCAGATCAGCCTTAAACTTCCGCATACACCTAGTTTCTTTCTGTAATTCAACATTAATATAACCTATAATCATCAACATGAAACCAGTTCGGAGATCTTCTACACTCAGCACAAAGAAGAAGATCCGGATTTTCGACACCGATGTCAAGTCGGTTAGTGCTTCTATGCAGTTCAGAAACTTGTCCAGCGTGTAACGAAAGCGATTTCCAACAGCCTGTTACAGACTTTCATCAACAGGTGCCTTCTCTGGCTCCATACAGAAGATCAAATGGTGAGAGAGAATTAGTAACAAGAAACTCTGGTTGGGAACAAACCGACCAATAACCGATCGCTCAACAAGTGGATATGTAGGAGAAAATGGAAATAGATTTTTCGGGTATACGTTGAGGAAGCCGTCGAATGACATCATGCGTATTGCAGGCCGTCGCTCGATTGGAATCTCAATGGGAAGCGATGAGTGGGTCGTTGGTAAGAGGGTGACACGGAGGAGGTCATGGGAGTTGAAGGAAGAGATAAGAGAGTTTGGGCAATCGTAGGGTAAGCTTAGGAGGATAGCAGAATATAGGAAAAAGTGGAGATGTGTTATTGAAGCCCTATGTTCCACTTGGAACCCAAAGGAACAATAATAATATTTCCATAACAGGTCCACTCCCACTCACTAAAATAACAGCACCTGAACCTCAACAACACATAATCCAACCGAACGTCTGAAAAGTGTCTTTTCGAATTCTAATTTGTATACTGTTTATCTGTTATAATTGTTTGAACAGTTTGAAGGTACTTATATATACATACATTTCGAATTTCAATTTATCAGGTTTCATTGATTTCATTGTGGAACCAAGTTTCCAAGTTCTTGGTGATATGATTGAACGTATTGTTAATCCACCACAAACTGAAACTAGTGCTCTATCAGGAGATACAGCCAACGTGAAACCTAAAACACCTGACCAAGAACCTGGTGAGTCAACTCTCTCTCTCTCTCTTTTCTTCATACATACATATGTATTCAAGACAAAATGACAAACCTGTAGTTATGACAAATTTTTATTGATTATTAAGCGTTGATTTACAGGTATTTCATTGGTTGCCAGATGACGTCTGTTAAAGAACCATTTGAAAACCAGCTAGGAGTACTGGAAAGCTGTGGAAAGTCATCACCAGTGAGGTTCAGCAAATCATATAAGAGGACAGTTAATCGTCTATGCGGTCACAAATCCTTCTTCCTCTTCAACCGATATATGTGCTTTGTCATGTACCTGTAAATTGGTACATACACTTGGAAGTATTATGAAATGGGAACTTTTCAACCTTCGATAATATCAGTGAGCAGTTTGTTCAGTAAATGTGGACCAATACTTGAAAATAAATCTGATGCTCACTAGCGACTGGCCCTATTCAGGCAGTTAACCTGGGGTTCTAGTGGGAAGCCGTGACCAGTAGGGTACAGCAGGTTGAAGATGAGGCAGTAACTCATCGAAGAAGACATTGCGAAGTGGTCGCGCTATGTCGTGAACTGGCAGAAGTTAGAATTCAAGGACCATTGGATCGGGTCCCAGTGGCTTAATGGTCTACGAGCTCGCCTTGTAACCAGAAGGTCCTGGGTTCGTATGTGGGTGCGTACTGATGAAGAGTCCCAAACTAGGACGAAACAGCTGTCCAGTACTTCCAGGTTTTCCAATGATTCTCTCGCCAACCAATGTCAGCTCATGATTAAATCCTCCATGCAATCAAACAAAATCCCTACAAAACCAATACTTGAAAATGTGGACTAGTCTGGTAGTTGAATAGGTTCGCTTGAAAACAGTATTTATTCTACAGCACTGAATTCTTCCAGACACGTCATCATCACCTTTGAATTCTACATTAAGGATGATTGAATTCTTTTCGAATTCCAATATATACGATCTTAATGGCTTTGCCTTCTAAAGGAAACTGTGATGAAAACTTCACGTCTCGAACTGTGTATACCGCAAACTGCTAGCCAAAAATCAGGTGGTTTGAACTGATTCCTCCCTCCAACCTGAGTCAAAATCGACTACACCACTGACAAGGTGCTCGGCCCAAAATGAGTGCAACGGCCTTCGAGACTACTTCTATCTATCTGCCTGGCTGGCCGGCTGCCCGTGAGTGGTATACAACTACTCATTCCAAGCAATCAGCAGTATATAGTTTTCCGCAAAATTATTCATTTGTTTTTTTTTTTTTTTATGTATTTTGTAGTCTTTGAACAAATAGTTCCACGTCCATGGTCAGATCATTTCAAAGAGAATAAAGAAGCCTGGTCAAAGAAGCTTCCACCGAAGACATAAACAAGAAAAAACAGAACGGACCAATAAGAATAAGATGAAAAACAACCTCTGTACAAGAAACATATCAATATTGTTATTCTCCTCATTTCATAGCCAAATTAAAAAACGATTATCACTACTACTACTATAACTAACTATACTACTAATAGTACTATTACTACTACTAATACCACCACTACCATCATTCGATTTACTTAACATCTCAGAAGATAAAACTTATAGTTGAAGGAGGAATTTTCATTTTTCTTTCTTCCTTCTTTTTTTTTAAACAAGTTTTCGGGTAAAATTTACGAAAATGTTCAAAAATAAATATATACTACTAATATTACTAATGAGTACTACATATACATATACAACAATATAGTGAATCTCTGTGTGATTATTGTGTTGTTCTTTGTTTCTTTTTCGTTTGTCCTTTTCTAGTTTACAAAATTAATTTGATCAGATTTAGTTTGACTAGTTGTAGGATTGTCATCATGAGCTGACATCAGTCAGAGAACCATTGGAAAACCAGCCACATGGAGTACTGGACAACCGGCTGTTTCATCAGCCTAGTTTGGGACTCTTGAGATGTACGCACCCAACACCGACAGGGGTCGAACTAAGGACCTTCTAGTTACAATGCTAGTGATCTCGTAGACCAATAAGCCACTGGGATCCAATCCAGTGAGGATGGAAATCTTCCAACCAATTAAACAAAATCCCTACAAAACAACTATTACTTGAAAATTCATCTGATGCTCACTAACGACCAGTCTTATTCAGACAGTCAACCTGGGCTGTTTTTAGTGGAAAGCTGTGACCAGTAGGAAGTAGCAGGTTGAAGGTGATGCAGTAACTCATTGAAGAAGAAGACAATGCGAATCCGTTGTGCTATATCATGAATTGACAGAAGTCAGAATTGATGAGCTGGCGCCATAGGATCGGGTCCCAGTAGCTTAATGGTCTAAAAGATCACTCGCCTTGTAACCAGAAGGTCCTTAGTTCTACCCCTGTCGGTGTTGGGTGTGTACTGATGAAGAGTTCCAAACAACGCTGGTGAAACAGCTATCCAGTACTCTAGTGCAGGATTGGCTTTCGTGATGCGGCGCCAAGTCTCTGATCTGTATAGTAGCACTAACTTCAGGTTGGAGTTGAAAATCCGGATCTTATTTTTCATGCTGAGTAGTGTTGTTGATCTCCACACAGACTTGAGAGTAATGAAGGCTTGCCTTGCTTTCTCGGTCCTCAAGCCTTGATATCCTCATCAATTCCGCCTGTATTTGAAACGATGCTCCCTTTACCTACCCTCGACGAGCTATGTTAGCGGATATAGGGTCAGGCTGGAAAAAAGCTAGCGGCGGTCAAACAAAAACTTGGCCCCACCAGTCAATGAAATCCACAACAGTTGGTCTAAGCCACATAGGAAGGTATAGACTGGCTTCCAGGCTGGGGTCCTCGGGACGGTAAAAATCTATGGTTAGAAACAATTAGTGACATGGCTCGAAACCGTTCTCAGTGGCTAACGCAGATGCATCCACTCCCATGACTTATGATCTTCAATGAAACTGTTTTGTATTTCTTTATTACTCCTTTGTCTCACACCTCTGCTCACTGTTTCTATTATGCTTTTCTTGTACTTTCTTCTCTTGCTTCGCGTGCTACACGGAATGTGGCGACTTGAACTGGCGCACATTTGTGCAAAGTTCTATATCGAAAACAGACAGACAGACAGACCTTGGAAGCAACTACAGGAGGACAGAACTGATGAAGATATCAAAGCGAGGATCGGGAAAGCTAGACAAGCTTTCATTTCGGATTGTGAGGATTAGAGAGGTTTTGTGTGCATTTCGGATTGTGAGGGTGATTGTTACTTCCCGGCTGCCCACACCGTGGAAGTTGGTTGCGTGACCCCACAGCCCAGGGGACAACTGCTCGAGGCCGGTCACACGCGGCCTGTTTTTGTTTGTTCTCTTTTATTTGGTGTGTCTCAGTAGCATACTTATCACTCCTGCCCTGTGACACGGTAGCAGGAAGCGCGGTCGTTGTTAATTCGGGCCAGGGCCTATCCGGCATGAAATTTTGTGAATTTGTTTGAATCATGGTATTGGATGGGGTTGTGGCGACTTGAACTGTCGCACATTTGTGCAAAGTTCTATGTCGAAAACAGACAGACAGACAGACATTGGATGGGGGTAGCTGCTTTTTGTTTAACCGCTATCCAAACAACCTGCCTGGCATGGTAGAACCTCAAGAGACCTAAGTCTCAGTCAGTATAGTTTGATTAGGTCATTGCGGTGTTCAAGCCCGACCACCACGTCAAGGTAGCAGCTTTCGCTTACGTGTTGTAAGGCTGTATCAGTTGCAATACAGATGATCTATAGAGAAATCGTACCATGAGTGATATACCCATTCATTCAGGTGGCTGTATGTTATGGTACTTCGAGATCCACGGATATTTCCAACACTATTCTTCAACCTACTCTTTACTCTAACTATAATCCTAGCTCCTAATCCTAACTAATTTTAACCTTAACTGTAGACCCCAAAGCTTAATCTTTAAAGCCATAGCCCTACCTAACAGTATAAATAAGCAGAGAAAGTATCTTAAGAATAATTAGAATACGGTATGTACCATCTGGGTCTTAAAAGGCAGACATGATTTGATTTGGAATGACATCTTGTAGTGTTTCTTGTATCTGATTAGTTTTTGAAGGTCAACTTTTGAAAGACATTGGCTATGATACTTTAGCTTCGCCAGGACTTGTTATAACCTAAATAGAGCAAGACAGCTTACTCTTACATTTTTCACTGGCATATATCAGAATTTCTCTAAATCACTAAGTGACCAGGCAAAATACACTCTATTAATTACATAAGATAGGCCATTAGAAGGCACTAACAACTTATTAGTAGGAGGATACGGGATCACTATCAACACCCTCGTCTTTCCTGATAATTGAGAATTAAAAGGGACAAGCCCATAGGATATAGTTATACAGCTTAGGAACTCTGTACCTGTGTAGTCCTGCTGAGTTAAATTAGACAAAAACAGATTATATTGTTGGATTTTGTGTACACCCGAAGAGTTCATAAAGTATTCACCTGGATTCAGTACATGTGCAGCCAATTAAAAATAATCTGATAATCATTTAAACTACTTTTGATAAACAGTTCTTCGATTATTTTTTTAAGGGTATTCTATTTAAAAATTCTCTTTTCAACTCGAATAAGATCACAGTGCAAATACTGGTGGTCACATGGAATATACCGAGGAACAAAAATGCAAAATACGGTCTCAAAAAAAAACATTATGCATCTAAAATATCACAGATATTTTCGTTAAATATTACAGTATCATTATAGTGTAATATTTTTGCACCTACAATAGCAAGAACAGAATTTTAGATTGGTTCCCAAAAATCCTGAACCGAAAAACTCTCTTAAGTGATGAACACTGTAACAACAGAAGACAAGGGCCAGGTAACAGATCGTTTTATTATGAAAATCAACACGTATTTATACATATTTCACATACATTATTACAGCTTATGCAAGTAGACAAGCGCAGTCATCTGATTGGTTGTTTATCAGAAGTTAGGCAGACAAACGCAGGCTTCTGATTGGTTGTTTCGGGATTCCTCGACAAATAGAGTTCTCTATCTGCGAATCATATTTTGCCACGTTAACTTTGCTGTGATTGGTTGTTGAATCAGCCGTGCTGATATTTTCTCACGGCCTGCTCTCACCACAACACTACAGGCATAATGAGGTTAAAATGAAGACTAAAAGGTAACGCAAACCAATGCATCAGCAACCTTTACTTAAAAGCAAGTCGTGCTGGGTCAGCTGTCAAGAAAGGACCCAAAACTGTTATTCGAATAAATCGAAGATCACTACGACCACGTAACTTTCAAGTCTGTGTTGAAAGATCAACAGCACTACTCAAAATGAAAAGTAATATCCGAATTTTCGACTGGAATGTGAAGCCAGTACTACTCTACGGATCAGAGATTTGGCGCCGCGTCAAGAATGACATTTCGAACAAACTACAGACCTTCATCAACAGATGTATTCACTCACTAATCAAGATGACCTAATGTTGTGTGGTCAGTAGTTTCACTACAATTTTACCTCTATTCCCGTGACCGTTAACTACTAACATCACTACAGAAAACCGTTGAGATGGTTTAAAGTCTTAATATCTATTAGAGTGTGTGGTACAATCAGAAAACTTCAATAATCAAATGAAACAGATAGAAAGTGCAGCGATGGGTCAACAACTGTCGCATAAAATTGAGAGCTACACTTCGAAAAGTAGGTAACATAGTTAGATGGAGGCAGAAGTTGATCAGAGAATCTTTGTTCATTGAATTCACACTTAACAGATGTGCAGTGGGGATGAGGCAACACTAATACCAAAGATATGGAAAATATTATTACCACCAATCAAATCAAAGCAAAAGGAATCATGAAGTTAAATAAGCTAAGTTTGAAATTCTTTATGAACTGTGATCAAGGTATGATCGATTAATTCCACAATATAATTGGGCTTCAAGTGAGAAGTAGACATATGTGTGAAAATTATATTTGTAAAATCTCCGCGCGAAATTGAAATAAGTAATTCTAACGTTTCGTTCGGTCAACTGGTTTGGCGAAATTCATGGAAATTAAAATAACATAGAACTTTGAGCAGTGGTGTTACTGTAACCAATGAAGTTTATCTGAGATGCGGCTATTGCTAGCTGGTATATTGGCGACCTGATTAAATTTGGGATACCGAAAAATCTCATCTATATTTCACAGATATTTCCCCCCCCCGTCCCGCTTTTTTCAAATCTGATGAAATATGACCTTTAATTATGTTTTATACTCTGGAGAGTATTTAATTTGTGCTTACAACTTGCTGATTCGTAAGTTCCTAGTTATCGTGAGCGAAATCCTAATCGTAGGTAAGGAGTGTATTGCAGTCCAAAATAGGGCGAAACGCGCATCCTGGATTCCACTGCTAGTCAGCACCAACCAATTAACTTCTAAGGACATATCTTGTCTTTAAAAACCTTGTCAAATCAAGTCACGGACAAACATCAAAATATAATAAACAACATTGCATGAACTGTGATCAAAATTTAACCTCAGGTTTACAAATATTAAAGTGTTTAAAGTGTACAACAAAAACATAACAAGATTTTGAGCGAACAATTGTTTCTGATAACTTCTTCTTGAGGCTCTACAGTTAGTTATAAATCCATGAATAATAGAGTACATATAGCCAGTAAAGGCAAATGGAAATAATATCAGAAACTGTATTGGGGTGCATGTGTAAGTTGAGGTGATAGTCCATTAGTTAGTATAGTCAATTAAATGTGTATAAAACTACAGTTTTAGCAGAATAATGTGGTA